GTCCCATCAACTGCCCTTAAGTGGCCTCACTTTTGCTATTAAAGACATGTGAGTTTCTTTTCCCCATTAAGCTCCGAATCATGGAGAAATTATCTGTTTTCTTCTTTGTTACAATTGATTCTCGCCAAATTTTTAACTTGTAAAAGATTTGATGTGAATGGATACGTGACTGGGTTTGGAAACCCTGATTGGGCAAGGACCCATCCGGCTGCCACTTCAACGGCGCCCGCTGTGTTGGCTGTCTTAGGTGGAGGTGCCACTTGCGTTGGCAAAACTATCATGGATGAGATGGCATACAGGTCACCATTTCTTTATCATTGTTCGAATGTCTGCTATATGATTGTAGTTGTTATACTTCGTTGAAAAATGGGAACTTTTTTGTTTTCAGTATAAATGGAGAAAACAAACATTATGGGACACCCAGGAACCCATGTGCACCAGATAGGGTACCTGGGGGATCTTCAAGTGGATCTGCTGTTGCAGTAGCAGCAAAGCTTGTCGATTTCTCCCTAGGTGAGCTTTTTTACTTCTTGGAAGGGATCTTGGGTTTCTTGGTTTGCCTTTAAATTTGTTAAAGTGAATTGTTTGTGTCTTCATAGGAACTGATACTGGAGGAAGTGTCAGAGTCCCTGCATCTTATTGCGGAATCCTCGGGTTTCGGCCTTCACATGATGTTGTCCCTACTGCTGGAGTTACTCCTATGGCACAGAGTTTTGATACAGTAGGTGAGGACTAATTTCTCTTAGTTGGTGGATTAAATTGATCTTGTACATTTTTTCTGATATTAATGATATTATTGGGGTTGGGGGCCCCAAATTTTCAAAGCAGTCATCTCTGAGGCCTCAGCCTTTCCTTTTAACTACGAGACTATGACTTCTCTGATAACATGTGATACTTCTGAATCATAGATTCTGAAGGACAGTCATCCATCTCATAGAGTTCTTTAATTTGGTGAGAAATTCTTTTTGACATCCAATTCTCATATAGGATGGTTTGCTAGGGATCCCTTGATTTTGAGTCACGTTGGGCATGTCCTGCTGCATTTGCCTATAGTGGATCCTATCAAACAAATCCAGGTTATTATTCCGGAAGATTGTTTCTCCCTTTCAAGCATTTCGAGCAATCGAACAACTGAAGTTCTTATAAAATCAGTGAAGAACCTCTTTGGGGGTAAGTAAGATTTTTCTACCTGTGGTCTGTGTAGCAGATAAGTCCATACAATTTTACCTGTGGAATTCCTTTATGCCATGGATACAAAAGAGTCCTGAATTGGAGTGTAAAGGCCCCTAAAATTACATATTCTTTAATCTTGAGTCTTTTAATAGAAATTTATATTCATTAACTAGAATTTCTGTCTCATGCAAACTAAGAATGCTGTTATTTTGCTGCATTTAACATTCAAATTCTTTGAGAATGTGAATCAATTTGTTTAGTAGTAGATCAGTTGCCATTTTAAGCATTTTGCCCATGCAGATCATATTGTAAAGCATGTTAACCTGGGGGACTATATGAAGGATAAAGTACCAAGCTTGCAAAAATTCATGAATGTGGGAGATGGAGATCCTCTGTATAATATAGCATCACTGGCTGCGCTTTCAAGTGCAATGAGGTTGCTCCAAAGGTGCAAAGAATCCTGAAACTTTCAATAACATTCACATTTCTCATAATCATGCTAGATGTCAGGCATTCTTGATTATTTCTTTTTGAGCACATTTGTTGTTTGAAACATAGGTATGAATTCAAGAATAATCATGCTGAATGGATCACTAGAGTAAATCCTGATTTAGGTCCAGGAATATCTGAACGGGTATGGGAAGCTGTTAGAACAACAGGAGAAAATATTGATACTTGCCACTCTGTAAAGATTGAGTTACGTGCTGCTCTTTCTGCTCTCATTGGGGTACTTTTCCTT